TTCTTTTTATACAGTGCCATTCTTTAGTAAGTAATTTATAAACAAATAATAATAAAGAGAAGTAGTTGCTTTTTAATTTGTTTAGTACAAATCTATTAAAAAGAGGCTTATGAGCATCACTATTTGACCATTTAAAAAAGGGAAATAAGTCATGGAAGTGGTTTGAACGTTTGCTTATCTTTGATAAGTTTCATTGTAGGAGAAAGAGGACTCGGCTTTCACAGTGGTTTAAAAACGAAGGAAAAATGAGCGTGGGGTGGTGTCTATAGAATAAAGATAATCCAAACGCAGCTACGGTAATCTTTTTTACAAAACAAACATTAAGTCAAAAATGCAAGAAATTTTTTTTAACTATAACAATTTTTTTTATGGTCGGCCGTGGGCCCCTAAATGGCGTGGGCCCCCCCGCATTGCGGGGTCTGGCGGCACTGTAGTTCCGCCCCTGCTTCCGGCGTAGCTGTGTTCTCTCAAAAACTTTTTTTTTTAAAATATGAGCCTATAATATTTATATGCTTGAAATTCGTAAAAACAAAAATTATACTGCTGTTAAAGTATAAATAAATCAAGAATTCAATAAGTAAAAATAACTAAAGATCGAATTTCTGATAGTCAAAATAAACAAAATAAAAAAAAAAACAATCCGTGATCAGCGAAAAATTGGCCGATAAATGGGAAATAAAACCGGATAGCCAGAAAGGGGAGGCAATAAATAAAGAAAGCAAACCAGCAATTGACTCGGCCTTAAAAGCCGATTGATTTCCCCTACTCGAGGCACAGCTCCGCTTCTCTTTTGTTGGCTTTACCACTTAATCCGGGGGTCATCATTAGCTTTACACGTTAACTCCATGCTTCTTGTGATGGAGGAGGGTGGGTGGGCTCTAGGGGTGGGGTGGGGTACTAGAACCTTCTGTGGGGTGTAACAAAAGCAGTGAAATAATGTTTTATCTATAAATTAGTTACTATTAACTTTTACTTTTGGGGGTCATCCATAAATGACGTCACGGTTTTTTTGACGATTTTTACCTCCCCCCCCCCTCCCCTCCGTCACACTTCGTCACAAAAAGCCATACCCCCCCCCCCTAAAATGACGTCACACCTCAACCTACAACCCCCCTCAAAATTGCAGTTGAATTTTTTTAAAACATTGATATTTTTCCAAAATCTTGTCTAAACTATTACAATTTATTAAAACAGTTATCTAAAACGCGAAATAACGTCTAAAATTCGTTTTCTAACATTGCTTTTTTATAATGCAAAAATGTGACGTCGCAACATCTGACCCCCCCCCCCCTTCCCCTCATCACACATCGTCACAAAATTACGGACCCCCCCCTCCCCCTACGAGTGTGACGTCATTTATGGATGACCCCTTGACGTTCCCACATAACGACACGAGTACCCGGGCTGGCTCCCCTCTGTAGGTCACTAAAGGCTATCTGAGCATGGGCACGCCATAAGGGACACTGTAACCCATCCCTGCATATGCTGGCCATGGGCCAATAAAGGCCATCTTGGTATGTTCAGGCCATAGGCCAGTAAAGGCCATCTGAGTATGTTCAGGCCATGGGCCAATAAAGACCATCTGAGTATGTTCAGGCCATCGGCCAGTAAAGGCCATCTGGGTATGTTCAGGCCATGGGCCAATAAAGACCATCTGAGTATGTTCAGGCCATGGGCCAGTAAAGGCCATCTATGTTCAGGCCATGGGCCAGTAAAGGCCATCTGGGTATGTTCAGGCCATGGGCCAGTAAAGGCCATCTGGGTATGTTCAGGCCATGGGCCAGTAAAGGCCATCTGGGTATGTTCAGGCCATGGGCCAGTAAAGGCCATCTGGGTATGTTCAGGCCATCTGGGTATGTTCAGGCCATGGGCCAGTAAAGGCCATCTGGGTATGTTCAGGCCATCTGGGTATGTTCAGGCCATGGGCCAGTAAAGGCCATCTGGGTATGTTCAGGCCATCTGGGTATGTTCAGGCCATGGGCCAGTAAAGGCCATCTGGGTATGTTCAGGCCATGGGCCAGTAAAGGCCATCTGGGTATGTTCAGGCCATGGGCCAGTAAAGGCCATCTGGGTATGTTCAGGCCATGGGTCAGTAAAGGCCATGTAAAGGCCGTCTGGGTTTGCGAGGGGTTAAATTAAATAGTTTTGAGTTTTGCGACAACAAAGGTCGACTTTTGTCAGTTCCCAGTTACACCCCCCCCCCCCCCATTCCGTTGTTTAGTGCGGACGTAATAAATGGATAGCCATAAGGGTTGTCGCTTTGTTAGCAATATTATGTTCACGCATATTCAAACGTCACAGAAATGTTCTAGACTGTGTTGAGCTATTCCCATAAGTTATCCGACATTACCCAGAAAGCTATATTTAGAAATTTCCCACAATTCCCAGCCGAGTAATCTCCCTGTGGCGCAGTTAAATTTAACAAGATCCTGACTCCGGGAACTAAGACGCCATTTTGGTGACGTTACTTGAAATCAAACCCTAGCAGGTAGTGCCCCTTTCCTTTCCATTTCCTGACGGCCATTTCAAGTGTCGCGCGCCAATTACTGGAACTCGTGCGGTGTAAAAGTGTCAAATTAGCGACCTAATTAGCTCCTTGATTGGAAATTATCTGTACGAGACGAGAGGGGGCGGGGGGGGGGGGGGTGAATGATCACTGTAAGAATATGGGCTGTATCAACAGGACGTTGTACCACTTTAAGAGACGCTTGTTGGATTCACAAAATGATGTGATGTATCACTTTTACATGCGGTATCAGAGTTTCTTCCAGGCATCTCTTCGGGGGGGGGGGGGTGGGGGCGAAGCCCCCCCGAAAATTTTTTACCGCCCCCCCCGAACGAAGTGAAATTTATATAATTTATATAGAAAATATATACTTTTAACAGTGTCCGCCCCCCCGAAGAAAGTTTACCGCCCCCCCCCCCGAAGATTTCAAGTGCCCCCCGGAGAAAAAAGTCTGGAAGAAACACTGTGCGGTATTTTATTCAAATAATAGTGTGTCGATTTTGAATACGGTATTTTATTAACATAACAGGAATTTTGTAGAAATCTGATTTAGTTTAGATCAAGAAATAGATTAGTCTCATTTTATTTTTTTATTTTAGAACTTCAGCAATAGACCAATTCTTTTTTTGACAAGAAATGTATTAGTTTTAATTTTCCGACTAAATGTTTGACAATAAATGTACACGTTTTAATTTTCCGACTAAATGTTTGACAATAAATGTATTAGTTTTAATTTTCCGACTAAATGTTTGACAATAAATGTACACGTTTTAATTTTCCGACTAAATGTTTGACAATAAATGTATTAGTTTTAATTTTCCGACTAAATGTTTGACAAGAAATGTATTAGTTTAAATTTTCCGAGTACATATTTCACAAGAAATGTATTAGTTTAAATTTTCCGACTAAATGTTTGGCAAGAAATGTATTAGTTTAAATTTTCCGACTAAATATTTGACAAAAAATGTATTATTTAAAATTTTCCGACTAAATGTTTGACAAGTGATGTATCACTTTAAATTTTCCGACTAAATGTTTGACAAGTGATGTATTACTTAAAATTTCCCGACCAAATGTGTGACTATCTAGATCTGCTATCACCAACAACAAATTACATCCACAACACAGACAGCATGTAACAAATGTTAGTCAAAAGTTATCTGTAGCCAAATAGTTAGCCTAATGGTTTCTTAATTTAAAGATATTTTTAAAAATCTATGTTTATAACAGAAGGAAAGCGTTCAAAAATCTCTTTAAAACTCAATTTAAAAGAAAAACTCATTTTTTTTTTTTTTTGTATTCTATAAAACACAAGCACTGAATCACTACACATCATCTTAACAAAAAAGTGTCAGTCCTGAAATTTATAATTTGATTGCATAACTTCACACACCAGAGTTTGATTCTTTTTAAACTTTGTTTGTCAAATTTAACTATGTGCATTTAAAAATTCTAAAAAGTGGTCATGGTATGAAGTTAACCGTTTGCCTGGATGTCTGGAGTCAAAGAAGCCTTGGTCTTTAGTGCGTCTGATGCTAGAAACCTGCTCATCATAGTACGCCCTTAAAACCACCAAACACCCACTCGCCAGTGTCAATTTGTCATCGATTACTGTTTATCGTCTCCACAGCAGCGCCTTAATACTGTACTCACTATTTGCTACAAGTACTAGGACCCACCACCTCTACTGTAATCAAAACAACATAGATCTATTTCTTAATTAGTATAAAGCATTTTAAAATTTGTTGCATTTTATCATTAAAATTTAATTATAATAATTGTGATTTGTATATTAATATTACATTTTTGTTTATATATTGAGTAAAGTTAGTTAAGCTAAAAGGGACACCAACACATATATTTATATTTGTATTTGCATATGTCGTATCAGTACTGAACAATTAATAAAAATGTTTTGTTTTGACCCCCCCCCCCCCCCCCCCCAGGAGCTACGAGCCTGAAAAAGATGTGTGGACTGAAGTTGAAGAAGGCGAAGCTTATCTCCCCCAGGAGAGATCTAATCATAAAATGGTAGCTGTTGGGGAGAACAAGATTTTTATTTTGTCGGGTAATTTTCAAATAAATGTATCCAAAATTAAGTATACAAAATATGAAATGTTAATTTTTATTCAAAGGGGGGCTATCCAGCAATTCTTGGCCGAGGGGTTAGTTTAACTGCAGTTATTTCTCTTTTACCGTAGATAGAAGAAAATCTTTTGTTTTTTTAATTCTAAAAAATAGTGTTAACGTAAAAAGAAAACTATGCAATTAATAACTTTAAAAAAAAGAATCCAATATAAAAAAATTATGCGATATCATATAAATTATAAAAAGAAATGCCAACAAATTCCTCTGATTAAAAAAAACAACTTCGTCTATACAAAAATCTAACCACTAAGTATTTGTTGAATTGCTAGTTGTGTTTACGTAAAACGTAGGTCTAAATGTAACCAAACAGCAAACACACAGCAGTAGACTGGAACAACTTAGTAGGGCGTGTTGTGGTTAGTGAATCGGGACTTAAATCACTTTATAAAAGACAATGATAGCTGTGTTAACACGTGTGTATCACTTGAACACAGGCATCAGCTTTGACCCAGATAGCTACTCCAACGTAGACGAACGGTCACTGTGTGTGTACACACTGCCGAAGGTTCGAGAACAGCTGGCTCAGCTGACCGGGAAACGTGTACACATTTGGGACCTGAACCACCCCGTCATACCCTACCCTCGCAGTAACGCCGCGGTAGTGGTGTTAGGTAAGTGGTAGTGTGTTGTAGGGTAGTGGTGTTAGGTAAGTGGTAATGTGACAGTAGGTTAGTGGTGTTAGGTAAGTGTTAGTGTGGTGTAGGGTCGTAAGGTCAGTGGTAGTGTGGTGTAGGGTAGAGTTGTTTGTGACAACGTGACCATAGGGGGGGTGGTATTTGTGAAAAAAAAACGACTGTTGGGGTGACACGAGAAAATAAAACGTTTAGATCCGAGGGTTACCAATTTAGGATAGTTTAAAGTATAGATTTAGTCTACGTTATAGACATGACCATGTCACTCAACAAAACAAAACCTAACTATTCCATGTTTTATTACACAGACAGGAGGACATGCACACATGTAGCCTATTAAAACAAACACGGGATGTGTTAACTAGTAAAAATTAACATGATGATTTTCTTGTTTCACAGGGGAGACGATCTGTGTGCTGGGAGGTTTCAATCAGTCCAAACGATCCGTCTGCACTGTGGTCCACTACTACGACACCCACAGAAAGAGGTGGAGGGTGGGGTTTGGACTGCCCGAGGGTCATTATTCCAGCCTGGACGGGGTGGTGCTCACAGTTCCAGACACAAATAAGAGTTTTTGCTTCAACGACAGAAACCTTTACAAAAACTGGATTCTGTGGTAGACTTTGCTTCAACGACAGAAACCTTTACAAAAACTGGATTCTGTGGTAGACTTTGCTTCAACGACAGAAACCTTTACAAAAACTGGATTCTGTGGTAGACTTTGCTTCAACGACAGAAACCTTTACAAAAACTGGATTCTGTGGTAGACTATAAGAGTTTTTGCTTCAACGACAGAAACCTTTACAAAAACTGGATTCTGTGGTAGACTCGGCCACAAAAATGTAAATAAAAATATAGCTCAAGTGTTTAATCATTGTAAATAAATAATTTTTTTTTATATAAATAATATGATGTGCATGTTTTTTTTTAATCAGAGAAAGAGGTGTGGGTGCAGGGAAGTGTGTGTATGTGTGGGTGAGGGAAGTGTGTGTATGTGTGGGTGAAGGGAAGTGTGCGTATGTGTGGGTGAGGGAAGTGTGTGTATGTGTGGGTGCAGGGAAGTGTGCGTATGTGTGGGTGCAGGGAAGTGTGTGTATGTGTGGGTGAAGGGTAGTGTGTGTATGTGTGGGTGAGGGAAGTGTGCGTATGTGTGGGTGCAGGGAAGTGTGTGTATGTGTGGGTGAAGGGTAGTGTGTGTATGTGTGGGAGGAGAGCAGAACAGATTTTAAAATTTTGTCTTGAGAAACTGACTATCAGTTTCAGTGACAAATTGTAGACATATTCAGATTTGTGTCTGTCGCGTTACCTGAGCCGTACTTGAGTGTTCCATCAGTTATGTATTTTTGATTTGGTGCCACTCATCTCCCCCTCCTATTTTGTTACTTTAACTGGATAAAACATTGTTTCCACAGAACATTTTACGATTTTTCGTCTCTGTACACACCCTTTGAATTGTGTCACCTGGTGCGGATCGCACTTCCCCTCCCCTAAGAGATGCCTGGAAGAAACTCTGCCCCTCCCCCTCCCCATCCCACCCCGCCTTGTTTCGCCACTGGGTTGAGTTCAGATTCTCTAAGACAGTGGTTCTTAACCTGGGCTCGATCGAACCCCAGGGTTCGGTGCGTCAGTCTCAGTGGTTCGTTGGAGGTCAAGATACCCACCCGACAAATGATTCACGATCGGTCAGTACGGACGATAAAAATTAGAGAGGGTTTAGTAAATGCACATATGAAGCAGGCGGGGGTTCGGTATCTCCAAAAAAAAAAAAAAGAACCACTGCTCTAATAATAATTAATGAACTATTTGAGCAAATATGAACTAACTAAAATGGTCATCTATATTTAGTATTCTACTTCTTAGTTATCGAGGCCTTTCAAACGACATGTGCTTTGATTGTCAAGAGTTCGAGACAAATATTTGAACAGAAGTGTTACTTCTAAAACTCGGTTGTGAAAGATTGCTAAGTAAAATACTAATAGACTAAGCATAATTAATTAATTAAAAATATAAAGTTAAACCTCATTCTCGTTCTATGGCAGTGGTTCGATCGAACCCCATGAGTCAGTCTCAGGGGTTCAGCGGAGGTCAAGACACACACACATATGATTCACGGTCGGATTTCGTCAATGTGGATGATATAACTATATATTACTATATAAATAAGGTTTCGCGAATGCTCATATGAAACTGGTATAATTCGGTACATCCAAAAAGAATAAGAATAAGAATCACTGCACTTGTAAAAGAAAACGAGATTTAAAAAAAAATATTTGTAAGCATTTTTAAAGAGTTGTCAGTTAATGACATTAAGCTTTTTTTAAAAACCAATTTAGCTTAGGACAATGTTTAGCCCATTGCCCTCTTCCCCCCCCCCCTCCCTCCGCCTCAGAAATCACAATTTACTTGAGCTCTCCTCCACCCCTTTAAATAACAATTTAGTTTTTCTTTTTCTTTTTTTAAACAGCGATTTCTTTACTAAATATTAACTGTTGGGTCAACATGTTTATTTTTATTCAGTTGGAAAAAGAGAAAAGAGAAACTATTTTCAAGGGGTAGTGGGGGAATCTAGAATCTAGATCCAGGATATAACCTGTTAAGCTGTCGTAAATATTTTGATCCTTGTTTTTCATCAAATTATTGTTTTTAATTTACGCGACTGCCACGAAACACGAAATAACACTAGCTTTAAGATCGAAAGCGAAACGAGGAATAGTTTAATAGATTTTAGATTCGAAGTCTACGAATTTAACTTTATGAAAACCTCTCAAGTCAGAACATAAAATAAAATGAATACCATTGTGACACAGGTAGATCTAGATATATAATATAGGCCTAAGTTATGATCTTTATTACATTTTTATTTTTATAGATAGTAGATTCTATACTATACTATACTCCGGTGTCTGTCTATACTATTGTATTGTAACTTACTTGTAACTATGTTACTATATAGACTAGATAGGCCTAGTTTTATTTTCTAGAATCTAGATCTAGGTTCTAGGTTAGATTCTCGTAGTTGTAGATCTAGTATGTTGTTAAGTTTTTTTTTGGTAAAATTATAGTTAGATTCTACTATTCTAGAGATTCATGGGGAACCACTCTAACTTACAGATAGCTGCTTCTTATATACAATATAGTATAGGCCTATAGCAAATCCTGCTCGCAAACACTTCTGTTAAAAGTTAAAAGTTAATTTCGGGCCTATAGGCCTATATTGATATATTAATATTTAGCCATTGATTTTGGTTTATTATTTAATTATCTATAATATTTGACTCAAATATAGATCTATCACAATATACTTCTATTAAAGCCTTAGCAATGAGGCAACTTTTTTGCACATTACTAGCCTTGGACGATTTTACGCACCTAAAACAATATATTACATAAAAAATAAATAATAGGCCTAGTAATACACAACCAAATGAGTATAGATGAGTAGTAATAGATCTGGTAGTACATCTAATTAATTTCTAGATCTAGGAATTCTTATTAGGCCTAACTATTTCAGTAGAATTATATAAAATAAATTCTCAAAAACCCTGCAGTTGATGATCTGTAGTGTAGTTATATTAATAATTAATTATTATGATTTATCTATTATTGAGATTGGTCACTAATACTGTCTTAGTGTCTAGCAGTAGCATTGCCATAATAATTTTATATGATGTGCTTAAGAAATATTAACTGTTGTACAATACATTTGAATTTTCAGATTGAATCTTTACAAAAAGAATTGGAGAAGCATGAAAGCCGACTAGAGTCCATAGAGAGACTAGGGAGGCTGACAAACATGACTGATGAGGAGATGTAACTATGCTTACTTTATGTGAATGTGTTGGGAAGGGGGTGGTTTATCATTTTGTTACATATGGCAATAATAATACTGCCTTTGTATGTACATTTATGTATTCTAATTTTTGCTGAATTCTGCTATTTTGAGTAGTATGATTTTTAAGTTGATTAAACTGGCTAACACATCCTTTCTTTTAAAGCAATTTACTGTTTACATCCCTTACAAGATGTTTAATGATGTGTAAATTATAATATCAGTATGATAACTACTAGTGCTAATAGATTGAACAAACTGTGTTAAACATCTTTTATGCCAAAAATTCCATCATACCCATTTTTTTTTAAAAACTGAATTAACTGGAACTGGGCTGCAACAAAAATTATAGACATCATCTATGACGTGTTGTTTTCTTCAGTACTGATATTAATGCTGTATAAATTTTGTCAACTTAAATGTTGTCTTGTCTTTTTCAGGAACAGGCTGATAGAAGAGAAAAAATGCCTGGAGAAAAAGATTGTAGAGAACAGTAAGTACTAGTTTTTACAAATAATCGCTTCATACCAGCCCAGTATCAGTCACTTTGTTGATCCCCCCCCCCCCCCCCAAGCATATTTTAAATGTGTTGTCCAGCACTAGCAACCAGTGTTGTAAAAAGACTGCTGCACTAGTACACAAGCTTCTCAGTATGTAGATATGAGTGTTTGCTCACATAGCCTCTGATTGAGTCCATCATATCTTGTGCAGGACTTGACATGTCTATAGATCCCTGAGGTCAGTGATCTAGGTCGAAGTGCTCCATCACATAATGATGTCGTGATGTCTGCATACATTCATCATGCCTTCAATGTCACTGTACTATGAGGCCTACATGTCTGACATCTGTGGTACATTCATATTTAAACCAACAGGCAGCTTCAACAATGAAGACTCCACTTAATGCTAATAAGTCAGATAGCTTGATTGTGGATAAAAATCAATCAGTAATCAAGAATTTAATATACTTTACCTTGATCTACATCTATGTTACAAAAGAAAAACCTGTTTTATTTTAACAGAAAAACAACTCAAAAGTTTGCGCTGGGAAAATTGGAAAAGTATGATAGTTTCTGTTATTTTACTAGGTGTGGTGTACCTAGGTTATACTTTTTATTCTGGTCAATTTAATGCACAGACAGATGAATTACAATCCAGGTGACCTTGTATTTTTATAGAAATAAAAATTTAAACATTTCTGTTTGAATCTTTTATTTTATTTTTTGTTTTCTTGTTATATGTCAGTCCATGATGGTTCATTTGAACATTCTATGTTACATTCAGTAAATCAATTGGATTATATATTTAAAAAATATCTTTCTAAGTTATTGTCAGGTGTGTATGACTGGCATATAATACATCTTTTAAAGCACAAAACATGACAAAGCTCTATGTGTTATAGACATCATAAAAAATCATTTAAATTATATACATAGTTCCCACCACAGTAACTTCTAGTCTAAATAATTACAAAAATTTACATTCATTAAGTTTCAGTAATTAGAGAAAAAAAATTCAAGGTATCACCATGATGTTGTTTAAGGCTTAAGCAAGGAACATTAAGGATGATTCAATGGTGATAAGTCAAAGTTTTCTTTTTAAGACATGGGGTATTGAAACTATTAGACCTCAGTAGTGAACTACAGATAGCAAAAAATAACAAGCATTTGAGGTAAAACTGTTTAAAAAACTGAATAGAAAGCACTTACTAGATGTTGGAAATATGCCATTTTTTAGGAACTGACTGGTTCTAAATAAATGATTAAATCTAGTTACACTGAGGTAGATGCATAAAATTTAAAAACACATTTTGTTCACATATTTTTTTCAATGAGAAAGTTGACAGTGAGTTGAGCTGATAGAACAAGTCAGCAGTTGTATACATTGATCTGTTTTTAAATAGACAACATCCAAAAGTGTAAAGTCATTTGATAAAGGATATTACAAAAATAGAGACACTGTAGACGCAATTCTCAAGAGTAAACTCTTTGTAGCAATGCAAATAATCACCAGCAATGACTATACTACTGTAAAACAACATTAGGAATGCTTCATCATAAGCACTATGTAATTTCATGAGCAACAAGAAAATAATGCACTGTGGTTTTAATTATATGGTAGACTTTGGTTATATTTTCTAACAATGATCTACAGTATAGAGTATAAGTTAGGGTGAGTGATTTCCCTAACATAAAAGGTATATAATTGTGTCCTGAACTTGCACCAGATATAAATATTGAGGTACAAAGGGAAACCCTGACATCTTAAGCTTTCATGTTCTTCATGTGTTGTCTGGTGTACTCCCACACAATCAGGGCCCCACACACATGGACATTAAGTGACCTTATGACCCCCTGCTGTGGGATCTCCACACACACATCTAAGTTCTGGATGATGTCCACTGGTATACCTTCCCTCTCATTGCTGTAACAGAAACAGATTTTTAGAATCATCTAGATCTATGTTATTAGTAATATTAGTTTCATAACTATTGAAATGATCAGTCAAATTTAAATAAAATCTAACTACACACAAGTGAGTCGATCCATCATAGTTATATAAGACTGTATGTAAAGACATTAGGTTATGTTTGTTTACACTCCTCAAAAATTTTTCCCCTACAAGGACATTCTGTTATGATTTTTAAAAAGACTATATTACAAGAGACAAAAACCTTACCCCAGCAGTAAAAGTGTCTTCTTGGGGAACTGGTACTCCTGTAGACAGACACTGTTGGCTGTCTGCTCCACCCCCACTAGAGTGTAACCCTGTACTCTTTTCTCCTCCAGAAACTCAGACAGCCTTGGTCTTAGTACCTGAACCATGAAATAAATTCATTCTATGTTGAAAAATTTGCTTTTAGTACCTGAACAGTAAGATAAATTCTATGCTGAAAAATATCTTAAATACAATTATATTTTTCTTACTTCGGTGTATCAAGAGAATTTTTAGAAAACTATTTAATGTTAAATTTAAATATTGCAAAGATAAGTTTATTTTTTTATAGCAAGACAAAAGTGTGTAGCTGACCACACATTTTAAACTGTTAAAATCTGTACAAACCTCAGTGATGGTGATCCACTTCTGGGCTGAGACACTCAAGTTCTGGAACATCCTGTCCTCTACATACGTCAAGTTTCCAATAACAAACTCAGACACTCCAAATATTTCACTTGTACGGCAGAGACCTTAAAAAAAAAGGAAAAGGTCTATGAGTTGTCACATTCTAAGTCAGAAATATTTCTACAAAACCAATAAAACCTTTTTTTAATAAACACATATTAGCAATCACATTTGAGAATGGAATCTCGTTTGCAGTTCTTTTATAAAAACCATAGAGAAAAAAGGTAAATAAAAATACTATAAAATATGTATTTGTATTTGATCACAATGCCATAGCTTTAAGGTCTATTTATGAAACATAAAATGATTGTATAAAATCAATTGTATTATAATTAACGTGTTAAAACATGAGAACTAAAGGGTTTAGTAATTTTTAAAAATGGAGGGTCATTTACAGGAAAATATTACATTGGAAGTACATTTCAAGATTATCAGCTGAACACAGTTTGTGGGTTAAAAGGATTATGATTAACCACTAAATATAACTAATGAAAGTAAACATACCACCCAAATTAGGTATTTTATCAATAAGGGAGGTGACTAGGACTAAACCTCCTTCTGCACGTTTCTGCCTCTGCATGACCAGCTCAGCCTCAGTTTCCTGATCAGGTGACATCTGGCGCCAGGGCATGATTTTCTTTTGTACATCTCCATCAGCTGACTCAACAATATCGTCATCATTTTCAGCTGAAAGTATTTGAAGTTAAGTCATTAGCAAGCAAATGAAAGGCAAGTGTCCCTATAGATATACAGATATTGGAGACTTATTGCAATCTGCAAATAAAAAAAAAATCAGAGTACAAACCTTGGGCTTTTGTTCTCCATGGACCTTCCTTACATTGAGCAAGGAGCGGAGAAGAATTTTTCAGTGGCAACAAATGATTATCTCCCTTAGCCCATGAGTTGTTTCCCTGGATAAAATACTTGGGCAATATCCACTCATCATCAGCTAAACAAGCCAGCCTAGGCAAGGTGTGAAATATTGTCTGGGGAAAAAAATACATTTTCTAAATGCCATGTTTTCTACAGTTAATAAGCATGTATCATTGCAAAGTTAGTTAATTCTTTAAATAATTACCTCCATACTGTAATCTCTGACAGCATCAAATGCAGCATACATATAATTGCTTAGTAATTTAGATACAGTTGCACTGGCATTTCTGCACATAAAAAACATAAAATTTATGGCAGAGGGCTAAAATTATTTAATGCTGGGGATCAGGAAGATTTTTCTGTCTAGAAAGGTTGTTTTTGTATGTGATGAAATGTTTTTGCTACACTAGTTTCTGACTAAAACTACCACTATCTATGATATTCAGCTTTATAAAACTACGAGCTGTTTTATATAAAAAAAAAGTATTTTGGGAGCTAGAAATGGCAGATTCTGCTCGCCATTAAAGTGGTGAGACATAATAATTAAGGCCTAGTTTTAATGTAACTTTCAAATAATTTTTAAAATGACTGGTACTTTAAAAATGTACACAAAAGAGTTACCAAACACTTACCCATTGCTGAAAATGAAATTGATGGAAGACTCAACCATGAAGAACTGTGCGATCACATCTTTCAGTTGGAGTGACTGGCACTGTTCCCACAGTCTCACTACTGTGGTCTGGGCAAAGATTCTTGTATTGTAATGGTGGGCCATTGTCCATGGCAGGGTGGCTGAGAAGGCTTGGGTGAAGTACTGACTCTAGGGATAGATACACAAATATAAGAAGGCTTGGGTGAAGTACTGACTCTAGGGACAGATACAAAAATATAAGAAGGCTTGGGTGAAGTACTGACTCTAGGGATAGATACACAAATATAAGAAGGCTTGGGTGAAGTACTGACTCTAGGGACAGATACAAAAATATAAGAAGGCTTGGGTGAAGTACTGACTCTAGGGATAGATACACAAATATAAGAAGGCTTGGGTGAAGTACTGACTCTAGGGACAGATACAAAAATATAAGAAGGCTTGGGTGAAGTACTGACTCTAGGGACAGATACAAAAATATAAGAAGGCTTGGGTAAAGTACTGACTCTAGGGTCAGATACAAAAATATAAGAAGGCTTGGGTGAAGTACTGACTCTAGGGACAGATACAAAAATATAAGAAGGCTTGGGTGAAGTACTGACTCTAGGGATAGATACAAAGAGAATAGTGATTTAGGATTTATGCAAGTAAAAAATTTAATCTACAACAGAAAAATCTACTTTTATGATGACAGCAGTCTTAGGTTGTGAATGCTGAATTTTATGTGCTACTCTGAATAAAAAAAACCAAATGAACAAATTAAAAATACCTGTAGATTAGCAGGTAGCTTAGGTCCTAGATGAGAAATGATAAGGAACAGTGAACAAAGGCACACACTTCTTTTATTGTCGTACTGTGGACAGAAGTTTATAACATTTATACAACATTAGCTTATCTCAACAATTTAGATAGATTTAAAAGTAATTTAAAATAATAACAATTTCATAGTTTTACACACTTAAAAACATATCTAGATACCAATTTGTAATTGCATGTATTCAATAGTTTTACCAGTTTAAAAACATCTAGATACCAATTTGTAATTGCATGTAATTGATAGTTTTACCAGTTTAAAAACATCCCAAACGCTGGAGACATTGTGTGGGAAGCGACTGATGAGCAGAATGACCAGCCACTCCAGGTTTTGTCTGACTGACGGATGACATTCTATCTCCAGGGCGTGCCATAGTTTAGCGATGTAATCCTGACACGTATCCTAGTGACATCACACAACAAAAAATAGAAAGCCTAAATTCACCCTCTTTTAGTAATTTTTAAAAAATATACTTGTAAACGACAAAAAGCTATGACAAAAAAACTAAATCAATGATCAGAATTAATGTTTTTGATGTATAGTTCTATTATCCAGTGAAGTCAGCAGTACCCAGCAGTATAATTAAAGTAAAAACTTCATCACACTTGCAACAATACTCTATTGTTTTAATTTTTCACTGCCTTACAGTAGCTGTCATTTAAACTTATTTTGATTTTATTTATCTGATCCCACAGAACAATTGAGGTAAATAAACTTTTCCTGAGGCCAGGGACATGAGATGAAGTAGAGTTTCTCAAACCTCTTTGATGAAGTCAGCCAGCAGCAGGAAGACAAGGACCATCCGGTGCTTGTGTCTGTGACTCAGGGAGTTTGAGAACTGCTTGTATGTTGTTTGAGCAGCAAGGTCAAGGTACTTGGCCCTCAGGCTGGTGATTAAGGTCAAGGCAAAGTTGAGGTCAGCTGGCACGTCAGGACGAAGTTCAGACAACCAATTGAGGATGATGATGCGTGTGAACATATCATTTCTGGACATGCTGCTCAAGAGAAAGGAAAAATCAAACAAGTGCTAATTGATGCTTTTAATATAAACTGTAGTTGCTAAGGTTAACAGAGGTCAGTGTTACAGAAGATTCACTGGATTAAAGATAGTACAAGTGTTTCTTGAATTTAAATAGAGTATAGTATTATTAAAGCATCAAACACTTAACCAACAAAATGAGGATAATGTTACTTCATAAACGCTAATTATTCTTTCAGATGTATACATAGAAGACATAAAGCTTGTATACTGCCACAAATTGAATCACAAGTTGACTAACCTTGTCATTATCTGATTGACAGAACAGCCATCACCAAGGCTCTCAATATAAGCACAGACATCCAGCCATAACCTAGCAAGAATAATTGCATTTTGTGGGTATACTACTTTACTCTTCAACTAAACAATTACAGCTTTTTTTTATTTGTTACAATGTATATTATTAAATCTGAACACTTGAAGTTGAAAGTTATTTTATTTACTTTCTAAGGTTTTTACTTATTTTTTTTTAAAGAACATTATTATGTCTTCTTTTTTTTCAGGCCATCGCTATATTTTATAAGAACTTAATCCATCCTTTGATGAAAGAGTTACAATGTTAGCTATAGAATGAATGACGAATGAAAAGTTACCTCTCTCCTTTCTTATGCATGGCACCAGAAAAACAGCCATCCACCAAGAGAGGCACCACCCTCATGGCCACCTGTCTGTCAGTGTCACCTTTAAGACTGTGCTGACACAGGTGATCAAACACAATGAACATCACACCTGTCTTGTCATAGCCTAGTTCACATGTCTTCTCCAGGAACTGCAAGCAACAGTAATTAAGAGTTCTAATAACTGATGATCTTGCTGAGTAGTATCAATGCTGGCACATACAGTTTCAAACATATTTAGAACACACTAAGGATGTGTACTCTAAGCTATTGCAGTTAATTTAGTAGCAAATTACCACTAGATGGTTTGGAAATTTCTTTTGTGTACTTGGTCGATTTGAAGTTTTGAAGCTATTTTAGACAGAATTATGTTGTGGTGATCTCCCCTGAATTTTTTTCCAAGAGTTTTATCCCCTTGTACCAACTTTTTTGTGGAAATATCAACAGTTAGTTACCTTATCCAAGCCTTGTCCTATAACAGAGTCTGGGCTCTGCCTTAAAACTGCCTGATGCAGAAATAAAGGCAGAAGAGCTCTCAACTTTCTCCAGAACAACACATTCTTCTTCTCCTCAAGCACATTGCACCAACTCAGCTCCATCAGTTTCACTACATTATTGGGATCTGCTACTGATAGGAGCTGAAATATTCAATTTCAAAATTGATAAGAAAAAATTAGCATTGGGATATCAAAATTAATAAGAATTAGTATTGGCTAATTCATTTAAATTCATTTACTAAAAACTGAAAACAAATAATATATGGCTGATATAAAGTTATTTTATTTTGAAAAAAAAATAGAAATGTGTAGTCAAATTGTAGTTTGAAGACTTCTAATAATAACTAAAAGTTTAATGTATCATTTTTCAGTAAAATTATTGATAGTATTTAACGTTTTTACAGTACTTACAGTAAATATTTACAGTAACTAGTTATCTGAATTATCAAATGTTTTATGGTAAAATGCACACCAAATGAAAATAAAAATATGAAAGTTAATTTGTAGGGCTCTACCTCTGTCATGACAACTTCTAGAGCTTGGAAAACTGCAACATCAGAGCTGCCAGAACCTAGGCCCAAGTCCTCCATGGCCTGGTCAAGGGCCTCAACCATATCAAACTTGAGACTCCCCCCAGCAGCCTGTCTGAACATGAACTTCTGGCACTCCCACTTGCTGGAGATGAAACTGCTGACAATACTGCCCACCTGGGCGTTGGAGACATTCTCCTGGCTGAGAGAAATACAATTTCTTTTGTTAAAAAGTTGCAAGCCTAACTGAGGGATTTTCTTGGTGAAAACAAGTGGCATTTGTTTTCTAAAATTACCTAACACATTCTTTTGGCTAAAATATGTCTATTTTCTACTGTATGACATTTTGAGACAAGGCACTTATAAATTGTTAAAAGTCACAAGGTTACCTAGCTCCTATTAATTAATGTATACATTTTTTCATGTTCTATCATAAGTGGAATTGAACTTCATAAATTTATTAATGACTGTAATCTAATAATTTTCTAATTGGATTTGAGTTTATTCTTTCCACTTTCTAGTTACAAGTAGAATGGATGAAAAAAAAGGCATGCAGATAAATTAATTGTTATCTAGGTTTTGTGACACTTACAAGGCAAAATGAGTTGCTTTACAACCAGAGTTATTGTGAGCTAAGTAATTTTTGGGATTTTATTTATGCAAGAATACATTTGTGGCATAAGTTTTATATAGGACTGCTTATCTTACAATTAAAAAAAAATTATGAAAATTTCAAACTAATAAGATTGGTATAAAATTTCTCAAAAAAATATATTTTTGGATGGAGGTAAAAGTCATCTGTAAAAATTTAAGTTGCCTAAAATATTTTACATTAAAATCATCAAGAAAAATGCTTCAAAACTAAGAAAATAAAAAAACCGACTAAAGTGCTATGTGACTCATAAAGGAGATCACAATTTAGATACAAGGATATATACTAACAAACTGTAAACAAGGTTATTATTAAGTCATTACCTGCAGTTTTTTTTAGTAAAAGGTAAAGGTATTTGCGAGAGTCTTGGCAGTAAGACCATCTTTTGCACTATTTCAGCCACACATTTGCTGTCACTTTGCGAGTAAGTGTCGAGTATTTCCAGGACAGCGGCCAGAGTTTTCATGGCTGACATGTTGAGGATATCAACCTGGTGCTGAAAACATTAAACATTGATAGAAAATAGTTACAAGTAGAACTGAGCATGTGCTAGATGATAGCAGTATCATTCAACAGAGATAATTACAAGTTTAACTGCCATAATGAAGCAACTAAACTATCTACAATTTAACAAAAGACAACAAAGTACCTGTGAATTCATATAAAAAAATAGTCAAATTTTGGGAAAAGGACAGAGTGCACAGAATAAACAGGAGAATTCTACTCCATAATCTCCATAATTGGTATTTTAATTTGCATAAGTTTGACATTTTTTTTACAGTAACTCTTTTATGTCAGGACACTTTGGTTGGTTTTATATGAATTTTACAGTCTGCTACTTTAACTAGTGACTGAGGACAACCACTACATTTCTGCATACATTTATTTCAGTGTGTTCAAAAAAATACGAATTTAGCATACAAGTATTTATAAATAAAAGTAAAAACAGCTAGTTCTTTTTTTATTCACCAAAACTCAAACAAAAGCTTCCATATTAGTTTCTTCCACTACCAACTACTATGTGATTGTCTTGTCTCCTATGTCATTCAGATTGCACTATACATATTCTGTCAGACAAACAAAACAAATACTCTCTATATCATCTATCTTAAAGCTAACCCTAAATATTTTAAATTTACAGATTCTGCCCCAATCTACAGCTATTCTGGTCATGCTTATCATACAACCTTCCTATACAAATTATGCCATTCCAGGTAGGAGTTACAACTGCCAGATGAAACAGGTATACCAACTTACCTGAGTATGAGCATTTGGCTGGACAGAAAGGGAGAAAACTTTCCCAACAAATGCCAGCAGGTCAAGCAGCTCAGCATGGACGCTGTCACTGAACCGGCCTAAACAAACAAGCACAGCGGTGTAAAACTCTATTTCCCCTATGTCATCAGCCTTGTTTTAGCAATAAAAACAACAGGAAATAAAATAGAAAGAATAATTAACAAAATCAGTGCAATCTATGGGCAGGTACATAAGAAGTAATAGCAGCTGGGCCTAATAGCTGTAGCAAGCCAATATGGCTTCTACAGACCCAGAAATAAACATTAGTGAACCAGAGGGAAGAATCAGCACCTACCCTCAAGAGGTCATTGGACAGCCTATTCCTGATATAGTAAGAAACATCTTTAAAAGGCACTGCCAAATATTTCTTCAGAAGAGAATCCACCATTTTGTCTTGCAGTTCTTAAAATAAAACATTTTAATTAAACATAGTAAAGGGATTAAGGGGTCATTTTTTAATGACAGCCATGTCAATGGTATCCTGAAAAATTGATATGGATATGTGTAAGAGTTATTTTAAAATCTTAAATTTTTCGAGACACAAGAAACTTTTAACCTGCATATAATATGTATTCATTTATAAAACAGTGTTTTAAAGAAAGTCACATTTAGTTGGAAGTAGGTAATTAAATTGCTGTAGTTTGTAACTCTGCTGTAAGTGATGAATGAAAACAAATGGAGGTCATGTAATGACTTTTATATGAAAGCAAATGCTATGAAAGCAAGTGTGTGTGGATGGGGTGGGGGAATGGCTGAAATTCCAATGCTTGTTAAGACATAAATGAGTTACCCTAAAGATTAAAATTGTAATATTATACATATTAAATTAATAAAACCCAAGACTTATGACCGTTATTTAATAAACTGTGATAACAAAGAGTATTGAAAACAGTTTTGATGAAGGAAACTTACTTCCTGCCTCCAAGACAAGACTGTACAGTAAACAAAGGCTCTTGTCAACTTTGCCAGTGTTGATGTACGCCCTGCTCCTGATATCTGTAACAGTGTCAGACACTTCTCCCATGATGAGGCCTAGAGGTGTCCCCAGCAGGATCTTCATGAGCCCACCCTCTGCTGTAGCCTCTGTGTTCCTCTCTGTGGCATCAGCAAACAGTAGCAGCATCCTGGCCAGGCTGACAACCTTATAGCCTTCCACAACCAGGGTCCCATTTTCTCCTGGGGTCAAACAAATAATTTATTGAACAACCTTGTAGCCTTCCACAACCAGGGTCCCATTTTCTCCTGGGGTCAAACAAATTAACAAACTTATTGCCTTCCACAACCAGGGTCCCATTTTCTCCTGGGGTCAAACAAATTAACAAACTTATTGCCTTCCACAACCAGGGTCCCATTTTCTCCTGGGGTCAAACAAATAATTTATTGAACAACCTTGTAGCCTTCCACAACCAGGGTCCCATTTTCTCCTGGGGTCAAACAAATTAACAAACTTATAGCTTTCCACAACCAGGGTCCCATTTTCTCCTGGGGTCAAACAAATAATTTATTGAACAACCTTGTAGCCTTCCACAACCAGGGTCCCATTTTCTCCTGGGGTCAAACAAATTAACAAACTTATAGCTTTCCACAACCAGGGTCCCATTTTCTCCTGGGGTCAAACAAATAATTTATTGAACAACCTTGTAGCCTTCCACAACCAGGGTCCCATTTTCTCCTGGGGTCAAACAAATTAACAAACTTATAGCTTTCCACAACCAGGGTCCCATTTTCTCCTGGGGTCAAACAAATAATTTATTGAACAACCTTGTAGCCTTCCACAACCAGGGTCCCATTTTCTCCTGGGGTCAAACAAATTAACAAACTTATAGCTTTCCACAACCAGGGTCCCATTTTCTCCTGGGGTCAAACAAATAATTTATTGAACAACCTTATAGCCTTCCACAACCAGGGTCCCATTTTCTCCTGGGGTCAAACAAATTAACAAACTTATAGCTTTCCACAACCAGGGTCCCATTTTCTCCTGGGGTCAAACAAATAATTTATTGAACAACCTTGTAGCCTTCCACAACCAGGGTCCCATTTTCTCCTGGGGTCAAACAAATTAACAAACTTATAGCTTTCCACAACCAGGGTCCCATTTTCTCCTGGGGTCAAACAAATAATTTATTGAACAACCTTGTAGCCTTCCACAACCAGGGTCCCATTTTCTCCTGAGGTCAAACAAATTAACAAACTTATAGCTTTCCACAACCAGGGTCCCATTTTCTCCTGAGGTCAAACAAATAATTTATTGAACAACCTTATAGCCTTCCACAACCAGGGTCCCATTTTCTCCTGGGGTCAAACAAATTAACAACCTTATAGCCTTCCACAACCAGCGTCTCATTTTCTCCTAGGGTCAAGCAAATTAACAACCTTATAGCCTTCCACAACCAGGGTCCCATTGTCTCCTGGGGTCAAATAAATCAACAACCATATTGCCTTCCCCAACTGTCCCATTTATCCAGGGGTTAAGCAAATATTTGCATACTTTATCAAGCTAAAAAAATATTTGTATAGTTTCTACAGCTAAACAAGCATCAACATAATAATTTAATTTGTACCTCTAATACATGACCACACAATTTTTTATTACTCCAGGAAAAAAGTGTAAGTAAAATGAAAGGGATCATTAAGCGCTATTGCTTACCATTATGAATTCCTATTGTTTAGCATGGAAAATAAATATTCATGATTAATTTTTCCAGCAAGTGAAATCAGAAGAAATTATATTTTCTATATGAACTTTTGAATGAAATAATTCACACCGATTACGATTACCCTAGTTGTCAAAATATTGTTAGCTTTTAGAATAAAATAGTATCTTCTATTGTTTTAAAAGGAAATTCAAATGACAGTTTCATTATTAGTTAGAAAGGAAATTCCCCCAAAATACAAAAGTACTGAGTAATTGTGTTTCAGCTAATCACCTTCTTTGTCTTCCTGCAGGTATTGTTTAGACAGACTCAGCACTTCATTTTCACTCCATTTCTCCTTCACAGCTGTGGAGTTCAACCAATCAACAACAGAGTTCCATAGAGTAGTGCCCCTTTGTAGACTCTCCTCACGATAAAGTGGAGACAGTGTAGAAAAAAACTCACTAAGGCCTGTTTCTTCCTGCATGCACAACATTTTTAATTTAAAAAAAACAAACAAAACACATTGAATACATTATTTGCATAAATCTAAACAAAAAGACAGCTAATAATAGAATGACTTTGATAATGTAATTATATTTTAAGCATTTGTTAGACAAAACTGGCCATCTATTTTGAGAAAAAGTAAAACAGATTTTCCCTTTAAACCTTATGCTGCACCAACAATAACACCAGCAGCACTTACCAAATCTACAAGGTTGATCAAAAACTGACAGATAAAACACTGGATTGCTCCCCTTGTCACCATTTCATGGAATGCAAAGCAGGACTGCAGAAGTTGTCTGAGGGAAGAAAAGTTCAGAAATTACATTTATAAGCAACATTATTTTAATTTAGCAACGACGCCAATTTATTTTATTAACACTTGGTTAATTAAAAAAGTTCCCACTCCCTCCGCCCCAACAGTTGCTCAGTTGCTGAAGGTTAACTGACCTTATGAAAACATAGGCGTAACAAAATTAGTAAGAAGTTTTTCCTAGAGAAACTACAGCCTTTTATCAAACTAAACCTACCTGACTAGCTGTAGCAGTTGGTGGTTGAGGACTGGCTCAGGTGGGATGTGTGCTAAACCTTGAAACACAAACACTAAAGGTATAGAGCCCCAGCTGTTGTCACACACTATCTGCAGCAAGTTACGCAGGTATTCAACTACAGGAAACAACATAGGAAAATATTTTTCACAGCTGATCATTAACTCATCAACTAATATTTTTTAACAAAGAAGATAAAAAAAGCAAAGATAAAATCTTTGATGCTTTAGTGTGAAAAATTATGTAATTTGTCAAACATTTATTAATTACACAATCAACTAATTAGCAGTAAATGAAAACAAATGTTTAAATGAAATCAATGAATGTGCTACTATACCTTTTTGCTCTTTAGACAAAGCACAAAAAAGATTAGCAAAAAAACTCCTCAGGGCTTCACCAATGGGAGAAGATTTTCCAAGCTCTGTTCCCTCATACCTTGTGGGAGGTTGATAAATGTACATGAGTCAAAGGAAGGTACATGAACAGATAAAGCATATCATTGGTTTGATTCAACAATAGCATTTTTAAACTTTACTTAAAAGATGAGTTGATTGCTTATGGTGCATTGTTAACTGTACAAACTTTTGAAGATACATTATGTTAGCTCACTATTAAACCAAAGTGAGGTGATATAAAATTTTCTAAACTATTACCTGCTATAAAGCTTGTTCTCTTGAAGATACATCAGAAGGTCATTAGAAAGAAACTAGAAAAATAAACAAACGCTATTATTAGCAACCTGAAAACAGCAACAAATTAATTGTAAAGAAATAATCTGTTTATCATTCATATGCGACAGAGTTTTATGCTCACCTTCAGCTGTTTATGTGAGATGAGTGGCACCTTCAACAAGTCCAAACTAAGGAGTGTCAACGCCCCCCAGCGTGACATGTAGTGGCTATCATGATGGAAGCATCTCGTTATTATAGTAATCAACCATGACGAGTGTAGCAATGACACGCCTGGATGGGAAAGATTTTTAACAGGTAAGAGGTAAAAATGCTAGAAAATTGATAAGTCCTCCAATCTATTCTGGGTCTGGACATATTTTTGTTAGTATTAGTATGAAACTTTTACCCTCAACAGATACAGTAGTAGCATCAACAAGTTTCTGCATCCTGGGTAGTATTGGCTTGATCACATGGACCTATGAATGGAGCAATGGCATGAAATTTTAAACAGAATAAATAATCACACCATCCTGCTTCTGATAATTGTTTTTTTAATGTAAGAAATTATAGCTATAGTATTTATTTATTTTGATAGCAGCTGCCATTGATATCTATTGATATCTAAACTCACTTGTTTCTCTTCCAAGGTTTCTATGAGGAGAAAAAAGTTTTCCCACACTGCTGTCAGCTGTTTGGTGGATGATAAGGACCACCAGAACAATGGAGCCTGGCTATCCCCAGCTGGAACTGTCAGGTCCTCTGTGAGGAAGTTTTCCTTGCTGCGCTTAGTTACATCAGCAGCACTGGCGCCAAACTCGCATGAGTTCTTATTGCAGGTGTCTACCAGCCTCTTGAGCAGGTACATGGAAATTTTTCTATGGGATGGATCCGCAGACACCAACCCTGCTTGCAGGATACGCCAGAAGTTGTCAGAACAAAGCCTTGAGGACAGTTCTGATTTCTTGGACTCTTCAAGAGGGAAGAAGTAATTCTTGAGGCAGTAGAAGACAAACAAAGACTTCCATAAAGATTCCTTATCTACTTCCCCATCACTGGTCAGGTGTAGAGGCCTTGTGTACTGCTGCCACAGCTCAGCTTCGCAGTCTCTCCTCAGGGGCTGGGGGATGTGAGGAAACAGTTTGGCTGTTACAGTGAACGCTTTAGAAAAAGCTGCGTCGTCTGTGCTAGCAGAAGTGACTGCTTTAAAAATGTGAGAGATGTCATTGTTAACATTGCAGGAGATCTGACCAATCAGATTCAGGTAATCTCTAAACAGGTGCTCATGGTTCAGTAAAGATCCTAAAATTTCAAGGCTTAGAAAGTTATTCAGCGGTTCACTCAAGAAACGATGATAGGCGTCATCACGATATGAGTATAATAAACATCCATTGGGCTCTATACCGCAGTTAGCGAGCAGGGGCATAAACAGTTGGGTCAATACAACCATCAACACACGACCATCAAAATGTTCTGTGCTAGCAAGTATCACATTACAAATCAGAGCCAGAGCTCTCCCTTTCTCTGAGTTACTTTTGTCAGACTCAGGAAGCAAATGAAGTGAGTAAAGCATAGGAAAACAAACATCTCTGACAAGATTTAACAAAGTCTCCTCAAAGATACCAAAGCCAGTACTGCCTGAATGAAACATCTGGGTTGATGTGACTCCCTTCAATGACAGCAACAGCTGGTGTATTTTGCCTAGGCTGCATATATATTCATTTAGTTCTGTGTCAGTGAGCTGAGTTGTGTTGGAAGTCTGGAGCTTCAGCTGTAGAGGACTGACCATGTATTTGATGACAACTTCAAATGGAAACTGTTCCAGCAGATCCTTTTTCCTGGCCTCAAACTGCTTATCATTGTAGTCTCTCTCAAAATGATCCATTGTAAATTTTCCTGTAATTAGGTTTTTTTTTTAAAAAAAGTAATTAAATTCAGCTTTAATGAAAACAATCCTCAAATTATGCAAAAAAAAAAAATTTATTGTGGCTTAAAATTTAAAATATAGGTTCTGATGTTCTAAAACTTTGATATTTGATAGCATTATTATTGGGTCGATTCTATCTGGAAAAAGATATGCATGCGCAATGGAGAGAAACTACCGCCTTCATCTGCAGCGATGTTTTCGATGGTACTGCACATGCATGTGTTTTCAAGCAAACTGCAGAGCCCTAACCCTAGCGCAGCTATTAAGGTCACTGAGAATGTACATGACTATTGAGGTTCGTACTTTCTGCTGAAACATCTTTTTCCGAGTAGACACTTCGTTATTATTAATATTATGAACTTAGAAATGGAGTTTTAGCACTGATGACACAAGAAAATTGCTTTTAAAATGCTTATCATCATGAAAATCTCAGAATATTATTAATATTTTGATGTAATGCAACTCACAAGACTTTTTAGACTAATAAAATAATATAAAATAAATGACAATTATTAGACTATCACTTAGATCTTAGAATAGATCTAGAGATCTAGATTTACTAATTTTAAATTAGTAGGCCTAAATCTAGATTAGTAATTTTACTAATTTAGGTCTGAAACACACATATTACACTTTATTATTACTTATTACAAATATTACACAGAGTTACAGAACGGACACAACCAACCAAATAGGCCTAATCATTTACAATAATTTACATTATCTGTTATCATGATACATGAGTGATGGTGAGTACACTAAACATCTAGAATCTAGATCTAGTCTCTAGTCTAGAGTTAATATCCGATACAGTACAGAACAGATACACTGCTTGCTGCTGTGCTGAGATACAATTCAATACAGTATACTGTATAGAGTCCTTGCAAACACGTGACCTAAATCACGTGATACCTACGCCCGCCGCCACAGTGGTGTACATCAGACGTAAACACAATCAGCTGTTCGCCAGCGCTGGACGTGTTCACCAGCGCTGGACGTGGTCACCGTATGTAAAGAATCGCGCCCGCGGAAAAGGAAAAATATGTTAAAAAACTTGAACTCTTAGGAATTGAAGATCCTTATACAGTTATTGACAGTTTCGTGGATAATATAAATATGTGGCCGAAATTTCTAAATAAAAATACTGTTAGTAATACCGTTTGCGTTTAGAGTTTAAGTAGACGAAGCTGATCAAATGCAGTAATATATTATAGGCTATCTACTGTAGCAAACGTGAGACCACTTAACTCCTACAAAACCCACACTACAACGGCTAATATAATCCATGGGTAATAACCAATCTGGGTAGCAGGTTATACAATTTAAGACCCTTATAATCCAGCAGGGAAGTAATCAGACACATTAATACTGACATTCAACCCTCATGATGGCTGCCCCCACCTGTATCTAGCCCACAATAAAACCTAAGAGGAGTCTGCCCTGCCCTCCCCTGAAAATGTCTCACCTCCGTGATACCCCGCCCCACAGAGATAGTATTTCTTATATAATTTTGACCCTCAGGGCCCAGCAGGGAGAACAAAGGGGAAAGTCCCACTGCTCTCCCCTCAACACTTCTCACCTCGGTGTCATGTTATGTCATTTATAGCACACATGGCTTATCAGGGGAAAGCATTAAGGCATTAAGAATCTTAACTCTGGACAGCTACACACTAGTATACTAGCTACACACTAGGTGCCTACTGTAAACTACTAGACTGTAGGCCCTATGTTGACCTGCAATTGTATCAATTGTAGACTGGGTCCATTGTTATTATTCTAAACCATCTCACTTATAATGTTTCTAGCTTGATTTGTTTCTTTTATAAACAGTGGATTTAAAAAAAAAAATTAGCCTAATCATTAACCAAATAATAATAATGTGGTTATTTGTTGTTGGCTGGTATGATCTAGATTGTACTACTAGGCTACAAAAACTTAGTAGACCAATTACTAGATATGAATTTGAATTTAATTAAACTCAGTCCAGTATCAGATACATATTGCTGTAAAAAGACAGCAAAGTAGGTAGGCCTTAGTAATTTATTAAAGCCTTCTACTACAATAATATCAACTACATACTTGTATAAAGTTTTTACAATTTAATTTAAGTATTTTAAGTAGCAGATTCTAGATCTAAGTCTAGTCATACAATCTATTTCAATTTCAGAAAATTTCGTTTGCTAAAAAAATGATTAGATAATAGAGCGAGGTTTTAGATCTTAGAGACAATTAAATGCTTTATTAGGCCTATTATGACTACTTTTGATTTATTATGGGTGTATTTTTAATCGAATGTAGATCTAAAGTAATTAAATTTAAGTAAAGAAGTAGATTCTAGATTCTATGTCTACCCAGCGGAGCCAGGTATTAGGCCTACTATTAGATCTTATTATTCTTATTATTACTTTTGACTTTGTCTTTTACTATTAGTATTTGTGAAGGTCGAGCATATTTGTTTTATTAATAGTTATCTTTTATAATTAAAATGAAGTTTATTATTTTACTGTCCTTACCTGAAACAAAGTATCGAGAACTGCATTTGATCAGATTCGGCTACTTTAACTCTAAACGCAAACAGTATTACTAACAGTATTTTTATTTAGAAATTTTGTCCACATATTTATGTATACGAAACTGTCAATAACAGTATAAGGATCTTCAATTCCTAAGAGTTCAAGTTTTTTTAACGTATTTTTCCTTTTCCGCGGGTGCGGTTCTTTACATACAGTGAACGCGTCCAGCGCTGGTGAACACGTCCAGCGCTGGCGAACAGCTGATTGTGTTTACGTCTGGTGTACACCACTGTGGCGGCGGGCGTAGGTATCACGAACGGACGTGACGTCATATGAAAGGACTCTATACAGATAGTCTCTAGAGTCTAGTAACTAAGTCATAGTGATCAGAGTTTCTTCCAGGCATCTCTTCGCCCTCCCCGAACAAAATGAAATTTATATAATTTATATAGAAAATATATACTTTTAACAGTGTCCGCCCCCCCCCCCCCGAAGAAAGTTTACCGCCCCCCCCCCCCCCGAAGATTTCAAGTGCCCCCCCCCCCCCCCCCCCCCCCGGAGAAAAAAGTCTGGAAGAAACAAGTGATAGTGATAGTCCCATTATATAAAAATTAGGTAAAATCACGATATAGCGTCGGTTATTATTCCGGAACTGTACAGCAGTAAAAAACAGTAAAATAATGGCGTAATCTGTCGAGCCGTTCCGGAAACCACCGAAACTACTGTAAACAATCATTTATTTGCCGCCATATTATTTTTAATACATAATGTTTAAAAATGTGCAAGGATTGATTTTAGTTGCATTTTAAATACCTTTTTGCTAATTATTTTGTATTTCTAATTATTTTAAGTTTACGTGCTAATTATTGCTGCTACTAAACATTATTCTAGTTATTCTTACTACTTTTAACTTTAGTCAATCTAATCGTCTTATTACTAACAGAACTAGATTCTAACTAGATCTAGAGCTGGTTGTCGCAAATCTTCTGCAGGTTTTTTCTGTTTCTTAAAAAAAAAACATTAATTACTACACTCGACTTTATTAATAATATTTAGATTTACTAATTGTTGCTATTTTTTTGTCAGTTAAACATTAAATTAAGTTAAAACATTAATATGCACTTGACTTTATTTTCTTTCAACGGTCAAATAAACTATGGTTTACAGTAACGAATGTTACCGAAACTCAACGAACATTACCCAATAATTTCCGACGCTATATCGTGATTTTACCAAAAATTATTAGTCTGAGTCACTCTGTGAGAGTCTGAGTCACTCACCAAAACAAAAATTAAATTAATAGTGGAAACGATAGATCTATATTCTACTAGATTGTAACTAGATTTATAGTGAATCAAATAAGTTATATAAAATCTGATGAGATATGTAAGGACACATACAGACTTTACTAGAGTAACATCTGGCCATATGCAGCCCAGCTGGCGAAGAAAAGAAAGTAGGTTTAGTTTTGGGTCCGTGTAAATTTCGAAACCGTGTAATTAACTACAGAAGAAAACCAAATTAGATCTAGAGATCTAACTGTAAATCTGACCTAACAAATTTTTAAATTGTAAACAGCAGTTTTATACTAGATTTCTATAATGGTTAAGGCTAGGTCTCATCAAGGAAGTATTTGTATAGTGGAGATATTAATGTTTTACATAACACCAAGGTAACACGTTCGATGAATGCGCGTCAGAGTTTCTTCCAGGCATCTCTTCTAGAAGAAACACTGATGCTCGTTTAGGTCTATAGGCCAATATGGCTTTTTTGGACCTTATTGTAAAATCATTGTGCGGAATATGAAGACATTAATGGTTTCTCCTGGCTTTAATAATACTTTGATTTAACTTTTGTATATGCTTCCTACTTACACTGATGATATTTAAAAAAAAAAACTTTTAATATGAGCTAAATTAAGCTTATGCGACGGTAGAGAGCTAGACTGCCAACCTGAAAGTCTCAAGTTTGAATCCGGGTTCATATAAAATATAACGTCCACCCATCTCTAATGGGTACCTAACTCAAGTTTGGGAAAGTAAAGGCGGGTGGACATTGTGCTGACCACACTATCCCCTCATATGCCGAGGTCTCTGAAACACAAGAACTTCTTTATTTGCCGTTTGTGTCTTGGACACAACGGGAAAAGATAATAGCATTTAAGCAGTGGCTTAGCGAGGTCGGGTGTCACCCGGCGCCGGTGCGGCACTTAATGGTGCCACCCCCCCCCCCCCCCAGAGGCATAGAGACCCTTCCCAGGGACAAACTTTCAAATTTTCGATTTGCACCCCCCCCCCTTCAAACTTTCGATTTGCACCCCCCCTCGAGTTTTTCTCTATATATTTTGCTATGTTTTTGCCTTGGTGTCACCCCCCTAAATGGTGTCACCCGGTGCGGTCCGCACCCCCCGCCCCCCCCCCCCCCCCCTCGCTACGCCCCTGCATTTAAGCGCATTTGGCGTAAAAACCTTATACACGTAGACTACAATCATAATATCAGGCTTCTCCAGATAGTTAACAAATTTAAGAAAAACCCAACATTATAACAGCCTACACATTCTAAAACTTGTTCATTAATGAATTTAAAAATCACATTTGTTTCCATGCATTTTTAACTTAATGGACTCGAATGTTGAAATATAGCTTACATATATGCAAATATGGACAAGATTTATAGCACTACCCTGGGTCCATCTGAGAACAATCAGGAACTGGCAGATCGGCAGACGGGCGGTTGGTTTATTGACGCCCTACCCCAAAGATATTACGTCATTTATCAACACCACTCGTCCAAACAGGAACAATTTAACATCATTATCATCGGCGCTTTTAAAGACAAACAGTATTGTAGTGATTTGTATAATGCAAATCCACGGTAGAAAAGTATACGTATCCTCGAATAGGCTTCTTGTGAAGAACGGTGATGGATATTGCCTACAGAAAGACAGTAAAAACATTGATGTCGGGTGATGAAATGTAATAGTAGGCACAATAGGTGTAACGGTATTTCGGGGCAGTTTGGCGGTGGGGGTGGGGTGTTGTAGTGGTGGGGGCGGGCGGTAGGTTGGGTTGTGCTGTTTGATGAATAGCACCTCTATGTGAAGTATATCAGTATTATATTTATGACTGACCGAGCACTACTATCTGGAGCACTGTATGTGGGAAGTTACCGCAACACGATCAGTCGATTACCACATAGTGAGACCAATAGCCAACCCACCAAGACGCATGAAACACTAGGCCTGGTCGTTATTTATTGCCGTTGCAACGATCTAGGCCAATATTTACAATGCATAGATCGCTAACGTTATCAATCGAGTTTACAACTTCACTTCTGTATGTAACAAATCGTTGCCGTCGCCATGTACTTACACTGTTATGTGGGATTTATACTTATATCTGCTTATGCTGGTAAGTTTATTAAACATATAACGTAATATATGGAAATTTTGTAAGGTTAAATTAATTATTGTGCAATTAATGTGTACAAAGACAGGTATAACAACTACAATTCAGACGTTACAGAAAACAGTTTTAAACATAAGGGTTTCTCGTATAATAAAAGTGCTTCACTTCTAATTCTATTCCTAACCATATAGCCAGACATATATATATATATATATATATATATATATATATATATATATATATATATATATATATATATATATATATATATAAATATATGTGTGCGTGTGTGTGTGTGTGTGTATTGCGTGTATATGATTTGTTTATGACGGTTTCTTTTGATGTATTTAATTGTGTACTTATAAGTTTAGTCCTTCTATGTGCGTATGTGTCGTATGTTTATGTTTATCTGTGTTTGTATGTATGTCTTTCGAGCCACTGAACCTTGACATCTCTACTACAGCAGACGGCCAACACCTAGAGATCACAGGCCTGTCCTACCTGCAGGAAGGAACAAACTGTTCTGTGACATGCAGCGTCCGACTGACCAATTATTCCCTGGTGCCAGAGCTATTCTGGGGGAGGGAAGGTGGACTTCCGGTCAATCATTGGATAGACAACAGCACAGTGAATGTAAAAACTAAGTGTATCTCGTCTTAACGTTATCCAACGGATGCGATTATCGTGTTTACATAAATATTAACGTTTACTGCATCTTGTATACCATATTGTATAACAAGCTAATAAACAATAAACAGGGTTTTATTCAGGTATCGATTTGAACGTTCCTGTTAAAATGCGCCCCCCATTGAAATACATTATTATTTTTTGAAGTATGTTTCTTCTTTCGGAAATGTGTAAAAGTAAATTTCTATTGTCTATTTCTATTGACCAAATAAAATAAAATACCAAGTGCGTGGTCGTGTGTGCATTGTCTGGCAAAGTCACAGATCAGAATTGTGCCAGATCAGAATGATGCCAGTTCAGAATGGTGCCAGATCGGACTGGTACCAGATCATAATGGTGCCGGATCAGAATGGTGCCTGATCAGAATGGTGCCTGATCAGAATGGTGCCAGATCAGAAAGGTGCCAGATCAGAATGGTGCCTGATCAGAATTGTGCCAGATCAGAATGGTACCAGATCATAATGGTGCCAGATCAGAATGGTGCCTGATCAGAATTGTGCCAGATCAGAATGGTACTACCAGATCATAATGGTGCCAGATCAGAATGGTGCCAGATCAGAATGGTGCCAGATCAGAATGGTGCCTGATCAGAATGGTGCCTGATCAGAATGGTGCCAGATCAGAAAGGTGCCAGATCAGAATGGTGCCTGATCAGAATTGTGCCAGATCAGAATGGTACCAGATCATAATGGTGCCAGATCAGAATGGTGCCTGATCAGAATTGTGCCAGATCAGAATGGTACCAGATCATAATGGTGCCAGATCAGAATGGTGCCTGATCAGAATTGTGCCAGATCAGAATGGTGCCAGATCAGAATGGTGCCAGGTCATAATGGTGCCAATTCAGAATGGTACCAGATCATAATGGTGCCAGGTCAGAATGGTGCCAGATCAGAACGGTGCCAGATCAGAACGGTGCCAGATCAGAATGGTGCCAGATAAAAATGTGCCCGATCAGAATGGTGCTAGATAAAAAATGTGCCATATCAGAATGGTGCCGATTACATTTGGAAGTGTGACCTATATCAGATATGGGCTCGAAATTAAAACATAAACAACAGAATTGTTACTTTCCCGATTTCAACCGTCATTCCTCAAAGTCAATAAACTCGTTTATTTCAAATTTTAAAAATTCAAGCTTGACATTTTGCTTTACCACAGGAAACCTCGACGTACACCACAACTATAACATTTACAGTAACTGCTTTAGATAACATCCGGGAGCTTATATGTTATTACCGGCTAGACAGTGACGAGAAAAGAACAACTTTTACCCCTTATGTTATACGTAAGTTGAAGGCAATTAATGTCACATTGTTGTATAAGCTACTCTGCTGGGGGAAGTAACTCCACGTCTGTTTGTGGACGCAAGCTGAGTCATCTGTTTTTAAAAACTAAATAACAATCTCAACGATCACACGTGTTATAAGCTGATTAAATCTAAGCTTCAGTTTGAAAATCATAACCTAGAATATTATTATTTTTTAACTCTAATCAATTAGTAGTTGCTTTACTAAACAAAAGTAAGCTTGCGTAATTAAAATTGATGCGTGATAGTCTCCCTTGTCATATGGTCGTGGTGTAGGGGCGATAATCACATAATTATTTAATCACTGAGACTCAAGCATTTGATGATTTAGTCTTTTAAAATATCAGAAACATAGATTCAAGTTCTGTAACTGTTTCTTAATTTTGCTGTTTTTATTTCTGCAGTGGTGCCCCTTGATCCGGAACTATCTGGCCTAACCTTGGTTGAACCAAATACCGAATACACCTGGACCTGCTTGTCTAATGGATCTAGCTATATCCCGCCTAATGTGTTTCTTAGGTTCGTTCACGCTAAAAAAATAGACACACCCATATGAATTAAGATTTTTAAAAATTGTATCATAATATAAAAATTCGTATAAATAATTCAATAATTAGCTTTATCAATTAAACCAACATTGCAAATCTTATTTCGTATTGTCACTGATGTGCATTTGTATTTCTTTCTTGTAGAAATGGAAACGGAGACCTGATAAGAAGCGAGAAGGTGACGAGGATCATCGAGGTACCTAACAAAAACAGCGTCCATGTGGTGGTTTTAACGGCCAGGCTGTCCATCCCAGCCACGGACCTATCCTACGTGATCCGGTGTCACGTGGTACACCAGTTCATGTCTTACTCACAGAGTCGGTCAGCCGAGATGATTATACATTGTAAGAAGTTTGTATAGCTCATGAATTGTCTGCTTAAGTTCGGACAGTCTTTAAATGATGTCTCGCAAATTTAGTATCCCCCCAGCACCCCACCCCCCCCACCATCCCCTATTGCCTTAAGACGCCATTTAGATACCTATATGCAACAGTGGGAAAGTAGCGTTAAGTAATTTATAAGCAGAGGTTTAGCGACTCATCCCAACGCCCTGGGGCGCCCGCCCTACTGTTATTTACTCAAAGATTTACCTTAAAATAATGTGTTTTTTTTTCTCCAGCAAATGATACAACCTCAGTAACCACAGAAGAGAGTAAGTATTTAATTATTTAAATAGTGCCCAAAGCATAATCACATCATCATTTTTTAATTACAATAAGATTAAGAGCATGACTCCAATCAGCCTTTAGAATGTCACTGTTAAGGAAAAATAACCCCCTCAAATCCACAAGAATTAACGTGCTATTTCCCTTGATGGTTTTAGGTAGCACACCAAGTATGCCTACAACGGAAATTCACGGTGAGTTAAAGACAATTTTTTCTGTCGAGCTGAAAATATAAATTAATCATCAGCTTAGAGTGTGATAAGCTCTTATGTATGTGTAATCTTTACAGCTGTATAAGGCAGGTAAAGTAGAGTTCATCTGTTTCTGTGAGATGAGATATGAAAATCTTTTGTGGTCAGCACTATTTGCTACTAGGTGAGGTGCCTTATCAGTATACAATCGATATATGGTAGTTATTAATAAGTCACTATCATGTATCGGTTTGCGTCTAATCCAACAGAGTAAAATTAAATAGTTATTAACACTAATTGAAAATTCTACACGTTCCTGATTGCCAATTAATTAATAGTGTCTAACAACTATGTAATTATGTGATCTTTGTAAAAAAAAAAAAAGTTGTTTATTTATACTCGACGATTTAGAGCCCATTGCTTTTGTGTTTAATTAGTAAAAAAAATTGTAATAATATAATTTTCCCCTTTTTATTCTATCAGAGGATACAACAACGACACACATGGGACACAGTAGGTTTTTTTGTTGCCTTTTTTTATGTGATCTCTCAAAACACCTTAAAACAATATATAACCAAATATAGGCAGACAGATTGAGCACACTGCTATCTAGTTCAAAATGCCATTCATTGCTAATGTGTATATATAATATGCATATATAAATATAACATAGTTTCAGTGTGCTACTTACATATATATATATATATATATATATATATATATATATATATATATATATATATATATATATATATATATATATATATATATATATATATATAAAATATCACCAGTTTATACTTATGTAACAGATGTTTCGTCGACTACCAATATGCCAACGTCAAATACAACGACAGTAGTTTTAAGAGGTAGGCCATATTTTTAAAACCAAAAAAAAATTATACAAAAACAAAATCGGCATTTAAATTGCAAATGTTACATTAGGGGACTGTAAGATATTTCTTGTTTAACTACAAATTGCCCAACACGAATAACGCCAAATCTGGTCATTATTTGAACTCGTTTAGTTGTTCATTTATCATTCCCCAAGTTTCATTCGTATAAAACAATGTGCTCTCTCCATTTATATTATACATTCGTCTAATATTATTAGACGAATTTATAATATATTAATATTGCACTACATTAGTCTATTGAAACATTATGCATCTCTGTAGGCCATCACACACGTGTAGACCTACCACATTCTACAGCTATTGACAACTTACAATTCTGTGTTTATCACTTTTAGATGCTAGAATAAACTCAGACGAGGTCAATGTCCTTGCATTGACCATCAGCATAGCCGTCATTGTTTTTGTCTCACTCACAGTACTTATAGTAGTCTTCATATGGAAGCTTAAATGTAAGTAGCACACAGTACTTATAGTAGTCTTCATATGGAAGTTTAAATGTAAGTAGCACACAGTAATTATAGGAGTCTTCATACGGAAGTTTACATGTAAGTAACACACAATGTTTGTAGCAGTCTTCATATAGAAGTTTACATGTAAGTAGTCTACAAACACATTGGTTGTAGTAGTCTTCATATGGAAGTTTAAATGTAAGTAGCACACTAACACAATGTTTGTAGTAGTCTTGATATGGAAGTTTAAATGTAAGTAGCACATTAACACAATGTTTGTAGTAGTCTTGATATGGAAGTTTAAATGTAAGTAGCACACTAACACAATGTTTGTAGGAGTCTTGATTTAGATTTTTACCGATGCATTGGATATGGACCTTTGGATGTAATAAAAGCTTTGGTCGCTAAAATATCTCTTAAGCGACCAAAGCTTTTATCAAAGAATGCAAGTTCGCTTTATTTTCTTATTTTCAGTGCATTTAAAGAAACGTTATTATAAAAAAAAAACTGCATTTGTTTTATGTTAGTTAATTTTTTTTCTTCTGGTTAGGCCAACAAAAAAAAATCTCAGGTAATCTCACAATTGCCCCACCCCTACCCCACTGCCCATGGGTCACATAGTTAAAACACATCATAATTAGACTGCTATAAAATGTTAACTGCCATATTTGAACTTTATTTTCACAGATTTTAAAACACATGCGCAAATACAGCCAGACAAAACAAGGTTAAGTTGAATTAATTGGCTTGACATTTTAATTGGTTTTCTATATTACAGGATATATATATATATATATATATATATATATATATATATATATATATATATATATATATATATATATATATATATATGATAATTTCAGTTTACTTAATATAGTAAAATTAGTTATACCTAATTATAAATTTTATCTTTTAATTAGACATTTAATGATTTCTAACTTTTACGATAGGTCACAGACTTCTAGCAGTTTCGACTCTGGTGAGTTTTTATTTAATTGCTTTATTTGATTCAGTGCAGTTTATTGATTCTTGCTAATTAAATGGGCAATTGAACAGGACATTGATGGGAGTAAATAATAAGATCCTTAGTAGATTTAATTATTTAAAGAGTCAACAAGCTTATTCAGAAACAGCATGTCTTCGTGGTTGAGTTTGAAAGTTTTGTTGAAAAAAAAAACTTTGCAAACCAGTTTTTTAAAAACTTAGAAGTTTAAATAACACTTATACTATCACTTATAAAACACACGAACAGAAGTCCCAAACAAAATACATCAACAAACTTTTTCTACATTACACGTGAACAAAAATCAACAAACCACACCAACAACACTATTCACCAACAAAACACACCAAGCATACACACCAATAAAACACCATTAATATTCACCAACGATACACACCAATAATACACACCAACAATACACAGCAACAATACACACCAACAATACACAGCAACGATACACAGCAACAATACACACCAACAATACACACCAACAATACACACCAACAATACACAGCAACGATACACACCAACAATACACAGCAACGATACACACCAACAATACACAGCAACGATACACACCAACAATACACAGGAACGATACACACCAACCACCTACACCTACCAACTCCACCAACATAGCACGCTAACAAAACACACCAACAGGACACACCCACAAGTTAACACGTATTTGTGTTGTTCCTGTTGTCAGATGTCTCGAGATGGGTTAAGAAAGACAAAAACAAGATCAGCAGCTTCGAGAGGACAGCACAAAGCACGACCCATGACCAGAGTACAGCAGCTTTCAACGGAGGGGCAATGGCACCGTTGGCATTAGGGGCGATTCCACCATCTGCCCCAGCTAGTACTTACTTAAATCTCTAGATGTCTCATTAACAATCAGTGGATTAGCAGGAAATTTCGTCGGGGGTGCGGTCGATGCCCCCAATATATATATATATATATATATATATATATATATATATATATATATATATATATATATATATATATATATATATATATATATATATATATATATATATATATATATATATATATATATATATATATATATATATATATATATATATAATATAAGCGGGCTGTGTCTGTCCTTCCTTCCTTCCTTCCGTCCGTCCGTCATCGCTATAGATTTTGGAACCATAAAAGTAAACATCGCACCATTTAGTGCTTTGCAGTGCATCGCATTGTCTTATTATAAGTATTAGAGTAGGGTCTGTTTATATAACGACATAGAGCTATTTTATAATTTCCACTGTTTGTACAATTTTGCATAACGTAAAGAGAATATTAAATACACGCACATTGCTAAAACATATTAAAAGGATCAATGTCAAATATCGTTTTCGTTAATATTCCTAGAAAAAGTGGATACATTTTTATAACATAATAACTGTAGGTTAGAAAAATCTAATTAAACTGTTTAGTAATTTTGCCAAGGGAGGTATTTTAAAAATAAATTGAACTCACGCTAAAAATGTGAATGCAGAATCTGCAAGAAGGAATAATTGTTGGAATAATATAATTAGCAAAATGTGAATGCAAATTATGCAGACGTGTAAGATTACATTATTGTTGAAATATTATAATTAGCATTGATTGATAAAAGGCTATTTTTTATTTATTTTATTCACTGAATGTAATGTTTACTACTTATAATTTTTACAAGCTTTTATTTAACTCACTTCCTCTGTCTGTCGTAAGTCTGTCTTGACGGAAACGCAGGAGTGAAAATTCGGACAGTTCTACTTGACCGACACGATTCACAGTTGGCACGTGGGTCAAGACATGAAGACAATACAATCTGAAACTAAATTTGACTTAATTGGATGCCTAATTGATTTTTTATGAATTAATTAAAATTTGGACCGAATTAGTAGGCATGTCTAGCCAACCACACCACACGCGTCATCAATAGCTGCGCCATCACGACCACGTAATGGCTGCGTTCAAAAACCATTGCGCGCCTACTGAACGTGATATTCAGTAGGCGCGCAATGGTTTTTAGTCATGTAACTCTATTGTAGATAAAACATGTAAAGTACTGAAAAAAAATTCATAAAAAACGTCTTAATAACAAGCTTTTATGTAATGATGCACTAAAAAGTAGAAAATAAATTATAGACTACTATTTAAATAACTATAAAGAAAAGCGTGGGTGTCTTCCTTAACATTAGTAAAGGTATCCAATAGATACTAAAGTGACCCACGCTTTTCTTTATAGTTATTTAAATAGTAGTCTATAATTTATTTTCTACTTTTTAGTGCATCATTACACAAAAGCTTGTTATTAAAACGTTTTTTATGAATTTTTTTAATCAACTATTAAGCACTATTATAGACGCGTCATCACGTTCATTTGGTGCGAAATGGTTTTAGTTATGAAACTCTATTGTAAATTTTTAAAATTTAAAGTACTGGGAAAAAAATGCGTGAATTGATAAAGTGATATAATATGGTAGGTAAAACACGGATATTTTAAATACTGCTGGGGGTTTTATAGGAGAGGCGTAGAGAGGGGGGGGGAACATATGTCCCCTGTTGCCGACCTAAGGGGGCGCCAAAGTGGGTTGAAAAAAATGTTCGCGGGGGGGTGGTGGTGGAAATCGGAAGTTTGAGGGCGGTGGGAGGGTGCAAATCGAAAGTTTGAGGGGGAGGGGGGGGGGGGTTTCAAATCAAAAGTGGTGCAAATCAAAAGTCTGAACGGGGGGGGGGGGGGGGGGGGAGGGTGGAAATTGAAATTTTGAGGAGAGGGGTGCCAATCGTAAGTTTGAGGGGGGGGGGGTCAAATCGAAAGTTTGTCCCCGGGCGCCGGAAAGGGTCGCTACGCCTCTGTTTTATAGTCATTCACTGTGTCAGACGCGTCCGGCGGCGCTCGGGAAGGGCGCGATTTGGCGCTACGGGCTAGACTGTGAGCAATATGCCTTTTTGATTGCATTTAAATTGTGTTTATGTTATGAGTGTTGTGTTTGTTTTTTTCTTTTGTGTTTTCTTTTTTGTTCGTTTGTGTTGTGTTTAGTTTTGTTCTGTTCCCCAGTTGGTACATTTTAAAAAGATTTACCGTGGCGGAGCACGGGATGCAGCTAGTATATATATATATATATATATATATATATATATATATATATATATATATATATATATATATAGGCCTATATGTGTGTGTATGTATGTATATAAAATTTGATTGTGTTTATCATTGAGTGGGTGTGTTTATGAAAGGGAGATAAAATTAAATGATATTGAGAGCTTTAATATGATGCCGCAGCAAATAAATCATAAGATCCGAATTATCTATATATTTTACGATCTGTGTGATTCTGTACACGTCTCTAGTTTTGTGCACCTTCTGTTTACAGTAGGTCATTGATTATAACGTGTCTTTATTTATCCATTTCTTTGAGACACTGCATGTGTTTAAAATGTTTGATTAAATAATCATTATTTTTCTTCTCTATAATGTTGATAAATTCAACTGGTTTATAATCATTATTTCTTCACATGTCACCAATAAATTATTAAATCTTATTTAAAAATTAACTGAGCTTAAATTACTGTAGTTTAGTGTTTGATCCTCGATTATATTCACACGAGTTATCGAGGTGGGTTTTGGGAGAAAGAAGGAGAGAGTTCAGATTTTTGTGACGATGTACCACGAGGAGGGGAGGATTCAGATTTTGTTGACGATGTTTGGTCGTTTATTGACTCTGTACAAGTATTTTGACAAATTTTTGCGTTTGGTTGAGTAGTCTGACAAAACGAACATCACAAAGTGAATCGACTGATTTCTTTTTTTTTTGTAATGCTGTGGAAGATTAAAACTATAATCCACAGATATGCTATTGTTAACTGGTTTTTGGAGATGGATTTTTTTTAAGGGACATTTTAAATCAAAGAGACTACGTTTTTATAAAAGAAACATTGCTACCTCTGAAGTCACAGGTACACATATCAACATCGTGACCTCAGAAGTCACAGGTACACATTCAACATCGTGACCTCAGAGGTCAAAGGTACACATACAACATCGTGACCTCAGAGGTCAAAGGTACACATTCAACACCGTGACCTCAGAGGTCAAAGGTACACATTCAACATCGTGACCTCAGAGGTCAAAGGTACACATTCAACATCGTGACCTCAGAGGTCAAAGGTACACATACAATATCGTGACCTCAGAGGTCACAGGTACACATTCAACATCTTGACCTCAGAGGTCAAAGGTACACATTCAACATCGTGACCTCAGAGGTCAAAGGTACACATACAACATCGTGACCTCAGAGGTCAAAGGTACACATTCAACATCGTGACCTCAGAGGTCAAAGGTACACAACAAATATAATGATTTCAGAGGTCACAGGGGAACCTCGTGGTCGGCCATACGAACGTGTGAGTGCTTACTCCAGAAGTCCTGAGTCTGAACCCCAGGCAGATGAGTCTAGTAAGCTTTGGACAGCAGCCCATCTAGTAGAGAGAACTCTAAACTCAAACACCCGCTATCTTGTAGTTTGTTCCAGTAAGGACAAAGGCAATGGAAGCTAACCATGGCAGAAAAGCAGGCTGAAGTCTGGGTTAATGGACTATAATATATAAATTTGGTGCATACAATATTGACACATGACACTTAATGTTTTGGAGAAACCCCCGTCCAACATTACAATTAAGAAAAGAGAAGAAGGGATCAAATGGACACATAATATATTATGCGTTTAGAGGTCACAGGTTCATATAAATATAAACCACATGATTTCAGAGGCCGTATGTTCACTTAACACATCATGATTTCAGAGGCCATATGTTCACATAACACATCATGACTGCAGAGGCCGTATGTTCACATAACACATCATAATTTCAGAGGCCATATGTTCACATAACACATTATGATTTCAAAGGTTACAGGTACACATTGCAGTGACGCAGTCAGGAAAATTCTGGATGATACACAAACAATAATAACGAAAACTTTTGAAGCTAAATAATAAACAGCTCCTGTTGTTTAATTAAATCTCAATACTAATCAATACTTGATGATTTGTTTAATTAAATCTCAATACTAATCAATACTTGATGATTTGTTTAATTAAAGCTCAATACTAATCAGCACCTGTTGATTTGTTCATCGCGTTGATGTGTTGTGTTGTTGTGTAAACATGTGTTGATTGATCATGTTTGTGTAGATTCAATAATTTTATTACTGGGGTTGGTTACCAGTCAAATATTTATCGAATCTAATTAGCGATAGCGTCAATGAACGAGAGTTTGAAGCTAGTTTCAAAACATCTGTAACTCAAGACTGATAATATTTGTTTTGTAAGTAGTATTTACCTTAATCTTAGCGATAACTCTCATTCATTATTAACGTTGAATTTAATGTGTTATAATCTTAAATTAAAAAAAAAAATTGAACTGTAGTTTACTTTATCCGAGACCTTTTAGTTTTTTGTTTGAGGTATTTTAATTGTGGTTGGGATTTCATGATAGTAATATGAATACAGAATTTAAAACTTTGTCCAAATCGGTTACATGCTAGAAATTAAAACTTTAAGGTGAATGTATAAAAACCGAATTTTCAGTTTCCTATTCATTTAAACTTGACATTGAAAATTTTAAAAAGATAATTTAACGAAACTAACTTGATTTACCAAACGTATATGTAAGCCCTGCTAGCGGTGAATACCTAAAATCTACCCTTCTAGGCTTATCTAACTAACTACTGTCCGGTCAGTGCAAGCCCGGATAAACCCAGACTGGTTAATAACCTAACCTTAGTCTAAATAATAAAACTACTAAAAAAAAAAAACTTTAACAATATAATAAGATTTATTTATCAAAAATATGGAACCAAAACTTACATAAAAAACTAGAATCTAGATTCAGATCTAGACAAAACAAAACACTCAAGACATACAAAACCGAACTCAACGAAACAATTTATATATAACAAAACACCCAATTTCGGACTACGTCCAAGCGTACAAGAATTGGATTCACTTAGTTTAACAGTTAGATGATGTTTCTTTGACATTTGATGCACCGGATGGTCCAGGACCTGACACACAGTCTTCCTCCCTTCACCCGCTCGACATCCAAAAGCAATCAACCATCACTCCGGAAACTGACTTCCACACACCTCGCACACTACACGTAAACAAATAGTCCCTAATTCACAGATAACAACCCAAACGCCACGAAACATGCAACAGAATTATTTAGAAAGACACTTAATATAACCATTGACAACAATATAAACGAAATATATACAAACTAGCTGTAAACAGGGACATAAACAGTAAGACAGCGGCGCCATAATACGGGACTACACAACTAAAAACTACGAACAATTTACGACATGAAACGAAACGATACATTCACCTTCTAAGTTACAAATAATAATAATAATACACTCCAGCCGCTCACATATATACGTGATTCTCTAGGTGAGAGATGCTTGTAGCAATGGATGTCTTCGTGTTTCTCTGTTGGATGGTTTTTGTTTTTGTAGGAGAGACAACCGCTGAAGAAACGGGCCGTAAGTTATCTTTTATTTAAAACATGGCATGTATTTAAGGCGTATACCGAATCTTTTCTAACCAGGCATTTATTTTAAGACATATATCTCTAATTAGCCAACTACATTCAACTTTCACGTCATGTATTTTGAAAATGTTACGTCTTTAATAAAAGTTTAATGTTACGGGTATAAAAGGCGAGTGAACGAGTATGGGGACGGCGTGGCTTAGGGGTGATGCGCTAGACAGCAAACTCGAAAGTCTCGAGTTCGAATTCCTGTAAAGTAAGTGCGAACACCAGTCAATACGTTCAGGTTTAATTACAACTCAAGAGACGATTCGTGTTTACTTCAATACTTTTATTCGGTCTCAATTCTTTACACATAACAGAGCAACCCTCGTCCTACCCGCTACCACTAACCGCTGACCCCCTCACAATCGTTCATTCCCCCTTTTATACCCGCATTCGACCTTGGGATTACAATACATAAATACACCGGGGTTATTACACAGTAGGGTAAACACATCTCACACACGCACTCTCCCCTAAGTTCGAGACTATTCTACCCTATTCTAACCTGACCTCAAATGATCCGTAACAGTAGGTACTATGGGAATACTTTACATCATCAAAAGTATTTATTTTAACCATTGGATAAGGGTTGCATATATACTTTAAACTTGATTTATAACCGACGTGTACGTAAATGCATCCTTATTGGCACTTACCCACATAGCTACCAATCAGTAAACATTCCAGTCCACCAATTAACGGTCTAATGACAATATTATCCTTGTCAATTACCACTCCTTATAATTACTGTCATCCTGAGAATGCCTGTTAGACAAAACTACGTAAAGCGACAGAACCCGGTATTTAATAAGATGCTATAAACTTATTGACAAAGTATTTAAAAAGACAAATATATTGTTAAAATATTAAACCAAAACCTAAACCAAAATCTAAATCTAAATCTAAATCTAAATCTAAATCTAAATCTAAATCTAAATCTAAATCTAAATCTAAATCTAAATCTAAATCTAAATTTAAATCTAAATCTAAATCTAAATCTAAATCTAAATCTAAATCTAAATCTAAATCTAAAGCTAAAGCTAAAGCTAAAGCTAAATCTAAATCTAAACATAAACACAAACGTAAATCTAAATCTCGTATATGAATGTAATTGCTTCTTTATTCTTTAATCTACCTACTCTAAGTACTATAATATATAGCCTATAAGCTACAATCCAGCCACAATATGTGTCGACTTAAATCATTTGAGTAGTCAGCTTCACAAGCTATTTGTTATCATTAATATACTTAGCTAACCTTTGCCTCTTTCTGAAAGTTAAAGTTATATTTGAGTTAAACAAAACTGCTGCAAGCTTTAATCTACCTATTGCCTTGCATGTTTCAGACAAGCTGGAGGAATGTACAACAAAGAAATGCGAATATTTAGGTAACGTATTGTAGCTCACCACTAAATCAATCTTTATGGTGTTGTTTTTTGTTTCACGGTGACTCTGTTTTGCCTGCCTTTTGTGTCATCCAATGTCTGATGTATCGTTTGGATCGTGTCGTGTGACATTTTAAACATTTTATTTTATCGCGTGACATTTGATTTCTGAGATTTGGGATTTGATTTTTACTTTCTCGTATATACGAAGTATAGAGAAAGTATTGTAATCGTGCACAAAAATCACTTAAAATTTTAACAATTTTCACCGTGTTACACCTCAGTCCTTCATCACATCCGAAGTATAGAGGACTTATTTTAATAGGGCAAAAATTATCAATCCAGATTTATCCAAATTAATAGGTTTTATGCGTAATCCAGTCTGAAAAACTTGGCTTTGCAATTCTGTCGGTATGTCTGTGTGTGTGTGTGTGTGTCCGTGTGTAAACACGATAACTTGAGTACCGTTGCAGCTAGGTTGATGAAATTTCAAATATAAGTATTTTATCAAAATCGTAGATCCGTATCAACTTTTGAGCGATTTCCGATAACCGGAAGTGGTACTTTTCCTACTTTGAATTTTTCAAAAGCCTATAACTTGAGTACTATTTCAGATAGGTAAATGAAATTTCATACGTAAGTAAAAGATCTAATTCTCTACCTTCTATTAAATTTTGAGTCATTTCCGTTGACTGGAAGTAGTACTTTACGCTACTTCCGATTTCTCAAAAAACTAATGTAAATTTTTAAAGTAATAATAATATTGCGCACTATTATGCACTTTTTTATTTGGCGTTCACTTGGTGTGCAATTAATTTGTCTACGAGATTTTATTCTATTTTTAAAACTTATGTATTTAAAATGGATTAAAAATCATGTCCATAGCCCGAGTTCCCATCCCCTGTTATTTTATATAAGAATATTCGAGAAAGTTTAGGGGAGATCACTCCCGGTTTATTTACAAGGTTTTACTTAGCTCACAGTGTCTGTGGGATTGTGGAAAATCTTTGAACTCAATTTTGACCCATTTCCAATGCAGTAACTTCGTTCAATTATGGCAGGTACATTCGTTTTGACTTCGATAATGATGCAAAAATATCTTACTGTTTATTTAATCAGACATTATATTAGTCATTAAAAATTAATTTATTAAAATATTACTTAAATTTTTAACAAAAAAGAAGATAATAAGATTAAATACTAGCCGTCGATGGCGAACTGTTTTTGTTCTCGCATTAATTTTAGCGCCCGAGCGTCGTCAGAGGGGGCAGATAACTGTGAATTGATGTTTGATTTATTCGACGCTACATCTTGTTTCTAGTATATGGCATTGGTTAGCCCATATTTGTATTTTTGTTTCATGTGTTATGCCCATATTTGTATTTTTATTTAATGGGTTATGCCCATATTTGTATTTTTATTTCATGGGTTATGCCCACATAATGCGTATTTTTATTTAATGGGTTATGCCCATATTTGTATTTTTATTTCATGTGTTATGCCCATATTTGTATTTTTATTTCATGGGTTATGCCCACATAATGCGTATTTTTGTTTCATGGGTTATGCCCATATTTGTATTTTTGTTTTATGGGTTATGCCCATATTTGTATTTTTGTTTTATGGGTTATGCCCATATTTGTATTTTTGTTTCATGGGTTATGCCCACATAATGCGTATTTTTGTTTCATGGGTTATGCCCATATTTGTATTTTTGTTTTATGGGTTATGCCCATATTTGTATTTTTATTTCATGGGTTATGCCCACATAATGCGTATTTTTGTTTCATGGGTTATGCCCATATTTGTATTTTTGTTTTATGGGTTATGCCCATATTTGTATTTTTGTTTTATGGGTTATGCCCATATTTGTATTTTTGTTTCATGGGTTATGCCCACATAATGCGTATTTTTGTTTCATGGGTTATGCCCATATTTGTATTTTTGTTTTATGGGTTATGCCCATATTTGTATCTCCCCTTTGTATGAGTGTACACGGCCCAGAAGTAAGTGCCTAACCTTCAACTGAGAACCTGCATCAGTAATCACTCGACTCGATCTTCACGTTTTTTGAGTTGTAACAAAGGCTGGATCAATATTTTTTTAAACATTCCCCACCTTCCACCCCAAGGAAAGCGGACCAAGTCATTTATGGACCTAACAGTGGACCCGTGCACCGACTTTTACAAATACGCATGTGGCAAATTTCGTCCACAAAGTGCGAGCTCCACGTCTGTCATTGATCATTTGAACAAAGAAAATTTGAAATTCATCACTCGTACGTATGTCTTTCATTCTGTTAGAGATCTGCATGTCTGTCTGCCTGTCTG